TTTCGGACATTGATGCCGGCTGTCCTCTCTCCCTGCGCATGCCGATTCCTCAGCTCTGTGACAGTGGAGATAGGGTTGAGCCCGGCATTCTCTGCCAGCGTGGAGGGAATGACCTCCAGAGCATCGCCAAAAGCACGGACGCAGTAGGCCTCCATGCCACTCAGCGTGCGGGCATATTCAGCCAGGCGCAGAGCCAGCTCAATCTCTGGAGCGCCTCCCCCAGCGATCAAGGCCCTGTGAAGGGATGGCAGGGTAAGGTTAGGGTCCAACATTCAGGAGCTCATGCTCAAGGTAAAACAATTCATTAATAATTTTAAAAACTGCTTATATGATGTAGTAAATCTAGAAGCAGTTTATTCCATACAAAGCCACATACCAGTAATTTAGCTGTTAGTCGATACATTTTTCCCCTTTCATTTTTTTTTTATATGACCTTTATTAAACAACACTGCACTGGGTATTTTTTTTAAAAAGTCACTTATTTTAAATGAAGTTCTTCACAACTTCGCCAGTCAATAAGGCGTGTGACACAAACCCTTTTTCAATTAGGGCACTCCAACCTTACTTTGGTGTAGAAAGCACCCACACTGAAATTGTAGCAATACCTTTTCTTCACTAGGCAGCGGATCACACAGAGGGCATCGTGGATGGAGCGCTCCGCTTCCTCAATCACAAGCTTGTTGGATCCACGCACCACTATGGTGACAGTTTTTCCGGGGCTTGCGCAGCCAGTAATCTGTATAACAAATCATGTTAAGTCTCTTTGCTTCATCTAAAAAGCACATTTCTTCAAAAACTATGCTGACATTCAAATGACTTACTTTGACAAGCTTGCCAGACCCATCCAAGCTCACTTCTTCAGCCAGCTCTGCAGAGCCCAGCATATCTGCTGTGAATTGGTCTATGTGGGCCACAGGTTTATTTCCAATAGTCTGCAATCACAAATACAAAATATATCTATGGTGGTAAAGAATTCCTTACAAGAAAACAGTATAACTGTAGCAGACAAAAGTTAGATCATAATTAACCATTTTCAGTTCAGAAATGCTAACAAGATGTTGACATAAAATATAATTTATCTCTTTACCTTGCAGATGAATTCAATATCTTCTCTTTCGATATCTTTAACAACCATTATCTTCATCTTGTTTAGGAAATGAAGAGCCAAGTCACTCAGTGCATCCCTGGAATTATATTTTAAATGATCATTAATAAACTATTAATTCACAATACTTACAAGAAAAAAACAGAACAAAGCTGCAGTATAACAAGAATAATACAAAATGGATTTATATTGCAAATGGATATGAACTTTACCTTAAAATAGATTTCTGAATGAGCAACACATTGCATCCAGCCTTTTTGATTTGCTTCACCAAGTTGAGGATATAAGCTCTCTCCTCACGTAGCACTCTGTCCATTTGGGCATAGTCAGACACAACAATCTGATTATCCATCTAGCAGACAAAAACAGGTCAATGTCAGTACACCATCTGACTTCACAACTACATAGTCCTTCCACAACGCCAATTACTGTAGAAGTGAAAATTTTAAACTTACATCCGTCTTTGGAGGAGATAAGCAGAACTGAATAAGACCAATCTTTGCCTTTTCAACCCGAGAGACACCAGAGTTTGCTACTTTCTGCGTAAGCACAAGTCCATCAACCAACTCACAGTCATCAATGGTTCCCCTGTGAATAAAAACTTTGTTAATTTCCATTCTGACAATTTCTTTTTACACCCCTAGATGTATTTCCCCATCAAAAGCACAGCTACTGCACTTTGTCAACTCACCCCAATTTCTTCACAATTTTAATGTCCTGGAGATCAACCCCCGTGGCCGTAGATGGATCAATCACCTTCATCACAGCATCAACACTCATTGGTGCCAGCAGACTGGAGTACTGGGACACAACCTGAACAGGGATAAAACAAAAAAAGATATTCAACTGAAATGACCAGTCATTTAAACTATAAAAATAGTTACATTTCATCTTGCACTTCAAAAGGGCATTCCTAGTAGAAACTATTATGTGATGACTAAACATTTTATAATTCCCTTATCATAGAAGATTTTGAAATTATTTACCTTGGAGCACAGTGACGTAGTGGCACTGTTCAACAAAGACTCTCTGTCACTCAGTTCCACAGGCTGGCTCATGGCTGTCAGAACCTCAACACCCTTCTCCACAGCTTTCTGGAAAGATTCCGAAATAATGGTAGGATGGATTCCTACAACAAAATCACATTAATCACCATTAATAAAAATGGACAACACTTACCATACACCTGTGGCAATGCAAACTAGCGATTAGAGCTCTGAACTGCGGATCAGAGAGCTGTGGAATCAAATTCCGGGTGGGATGTTATTGTACTCTGATGCAAGCCTAATCACATTATTTACTCCAGTAAATGCCTTAATGTACAAATGGGTATTCTCCTGGTTGTGGACTTATTCTAGTTGACTTATTCTGGTTAGAAAACTAAAAAAATATAACTGACTCCAAACAAACAAGATGGAAATTCTTTACCTTTCTGAAGCAGTTTAGCACAAGCATCCAAAAGAGCACCTGCAATCACCACAACAGAAGTTGTCCCATCACCAGCTTCAATGTCCTGAGCTTTGGAGAGCTCCACCAGCTGGAGTAAGCAAAGGAGTTTAGGTTAACTGCTGGCCATGAACTTAGAAGGCAACAGAAGCAATTCGATAAAGCAAGTGATATTACCAAAACTGATTAGATCACCCTAAAGCAAATGCCTCTCTAAGTTCAGTTGAAGTTTGATAAAAACAATTTCACATAGCGGAAAAAGGAACTCTATCAAGGCTGTTTTGGTCATATTATCTGTGTTTTTTTGTTATGCATTAATATTTAACTGCCAAATTTCTTGAGTGTTTTCAAATGTTACATGAAAACTTACACTACTGTTAAAAATACAATTGTTGTATTCAAGATGGTTAAAATTTCTGTAAAATGGTGTTGCTTTGAGCTAAATACTTAAATCCACATTTTTAACAGAATGAATTAATCATTAATGTACATGTTCTTCTTAGCAACCAATTAAAGTACATCAAGTCATCTTTTGACAATACTGTACTTACCATTTTAGCAGCTGGGTGAAGAACCTGCATTTGTTTGAGGATGGTGGCTCCATCATTGGTAATGGTTACATCACCCTTTCCATCTTGAATCTATAGGATCATTTGAAAAAACAGATCAGCATCAGTGGAAAAACAAACCAAATTTAAGGTATGATTAAATTTGAGAAAAACACTCACCATTTTATCCATGCCCTTGGGCCCAAGGCTGGTTCTGATGGCATCTGCAACAGCTGTCGAACAGAACAAGAACACCATTGTTGTGACACTGCACTATTAATGTATATACAGTACACACTATACTCGAATCCTGCCGCAAAAAAAAGCAAAACAAACATCCCATTTCCCCCAATGAGCTGTGATATAATGTATTTTGCTTGTGTGAATATACATCTTAAGTGTGCGTTTACAATTTGTAAAACTAAAGGCACTGGCGATAAGGACAGTAGGTATAAATCCAACCATAACTCATCATGCTTGCATGATTGCACGTCTTATTCCTTTCGCTAAGAGATGCACACTGATGTCTAAAAACAGAACGCCACAAAATCCTTAGTCGTTTAGGTGCGATTGCAAATCTGAACAGGGTCATTGAGATATAATCATTGATTCTCTCTTGCACTTCTGGTGTTTAGCACTTTTTCAGGATCTTAGTCTTACAGGAAAAAACTGCTCTCTCATGCTGTACATGAAGACACCATTTATGGACTACAATACAAGCACCGTCATCGTCACTCAGTCATAGCGTGGCCCTGCTTACAATACAGACTGCATCTAAAAAAGCTCTTCTGCACGCAATACCTCCTCAACATTGACGAGCTACATTGCTATTCTACATTACAACTGACCCGAGTATATTCAAATGAGCATTTCATTCATTTCAAATCAAAGTGTATATAGGAAGAAGCTCCATTTAGCACCACAGCCATCTTCGCACGTCTTGACGGCCTCCTTCGGTCTCCAAGCCAAGCGATTCCAATAAAACCTCCGATAAAGAAACTGTCAAAAAGAAATATTTTACCTTTCCCTGCAGAGATGTTACTGAAACGAATCTGCGCTGGCTTGTCACGATCCACAAAGGCGCCTCCTTTGCTTTTACCACTGGAGTCTTTTAGTGCGGCGGCTTCGGGCATATTTTGTCCTAAGTGCTGTTAAAGTCTTCCAGAGGGAAATGGATCAGTTTTGAACCGAAATAATGATTCCTGAACTCGGATGGATTCAGATACGAACTCGTCGTTGAATGAATGTAAAACGTCAGTTTGCCAGTAACGGAACCTTCCAGACAAGCCGAGTGCGACAACTGAAGAGAAGGACCCTCCCCCCGTTTTCTCGTCGCATGAATGTTGCGTCAAAGTGCTGCTTATGTAATTGCCTATTATATTTATAAACGTTTATTCTTTTAACTAAGATGTTAAGGTAAGTATACCCTGCTGTTTCTATGAATAGGTTTATGAAAATGTTGTATTCCCATACTCTTCTTTGATTTAGTTTGTACTATATATTATTAGCCATAAAATGTGCCATTGTGAGCGGGGTACTTTCATTTCAAAGAGGGCGTGGCGCTTGAGTTAAACCATCACATGTCATGTATCGACAAGCTGAAGAGTGCACAGCCAGCGGATAGCTGGCTAATGCAGTTTTCATATGATTCAGCCTGATCTTTAAATATTGACAAATGTGAATTATTTCACCTTAAAAGTCTGAATTAGGAACAATTGATAAAACTCCTGTAAAGAAAGTGGTTTGATATACCTGGGAATTTAAAGAAGAAAGGTGTAAATCGAATTGTAAACAAAACGGGAAAAAAAAGGTTTCAATCCTTTATCGCTATCTAGTCCTTAGTGGGCATTTCTCTTTTTGTTTATGCTTCACTTTTACTGGATGTTCCTGAACATATTAGTGATGATTTTGACAAATTACTTTATAATTTTATCTGGAAGAATAAACAACGTTATGTAACGTTAAGTCCAAAAACCAAGGTTGAGTGAACCTTTTAGATTTTTACACCTCAAATATAACATCAACTTGATTAGAAATTTTAAAAACAAACATAGAACTTGATTATTATAGGTGATCACAACTTTCTCTTAAATTGTAGTTTTTATATAAGTAAAATCCTAATAAAGTTATCCAGCTTTCACAGGCAGATCTTATATATTAAATTTCAAGATAATAAAAATAATTTCTCTCCACATTGGTACTATATATGGAATTAAAAGGACATTAAGTACAAAAATAAAAGATATTCTTGCAGACATGATAAGATTTGGTTAATAGGGCAATTGTTAAACAAAGAGGGTAGATTCTTAACCTTAAATTAAGTATTTCAATGTGAAAGTTAGAATTAAGAAGTTACATGCTATTTTATATTTTGCAAAAGTAACATGGAAAAGAACGTGTATATATAATTAATCTGTAATTAATAGTAGGTAGATACGACATCCACAAAACAAAATAGTCTTAACCCACTGTAAATGATCATTACTAAATACAACATTTTGTTCTGAGTCTTTTTTGTTCAATTATTGTTTTGCATACTGTTTCTCCTTTACTTATATTATCTGATTCCAATTACATTTGAGACAAAAATAAATCTGCATAGCCGCTCTGCTTGTCAAGAGGTACTGCACCGCAGCAACCATGAATTCATAACAAGAACCTAGAGTGAACTTTAGACAAAGAAGTGCACCTGCTAGCGCCACCTAGCCAGGAGGTGTGAAACGCCTACCTTATGATAGTGTGTGACGTCTGTGCAATCGCAAATTTAATTCCTTTTATGGAATACAATTGTGAATGCTCGTAAATCGCACTTATAAGGACACAATCATGTACGTTATTGTCAATGTACGAGTTTAATGTAGATAGGGAAATATGTATTTTATGAATTAACGTAAGAGTGTCATTTGAACTGATCAGTTTAACTCGTTGTTTTACCAGAAAGTGCCTACAAATAAAAATATACCAACTAATAAAATAGAACAATTACAGTCTTGTATATCTACCTAATCATATGAGATGTTGGGATCTCATTCGAGCTAAAGGAAAGGCTCTAATAGTACGTGAAAGGTTAATGGTATTGTAAAAGGGAAACGTGCTGCCCAAGGCTACGTTTTACAATTCATGATAAATGTTTGGTTCACTTGGAAATGTTATAAAATAATCATATACTTGAGCAAAAACAGTATATGTTGGTATACCAGTAAATTATACATTTCTAACCCCAAGTCTTTTTCCATTATTTATACCTTCTGAAAAGGGCTATAGGGTAGTCTTGATGATGACTGATAGGTTAGCACTATGTAATTCTGAGTAATTCTAGAATCTGAAACTCCCACGACTGCTTGCAAGTCTCTATCATATGCTGTGTTGTTGTTGTTATATGTGTAATTAATGCCTATTGCTTGTTCTCTTTAGTACTAGATCCTGCCTATACTGGATTATTTTCAGGAGCACTGGAGGCCAATACAACTATACAGATAACATTTGTGGACAGTTTGTCATGTTGCTGAGAAGGAAACTTTGTCATTAAAACACTGGTGAAAAGACTTTATTCTAGAAGGTTGCAGAGAATAGGAGACACACATAAGCACACTATATCAATGCATTTTTTATGTTCTGGAAGATAATATCTATTATGTTTCTATTTGCAAATAAAACCACTACATATTGCACATATTGTTGTTGTGGACAAGGAACTGATGGCTCAGCAGGCAGTGACCAGTCAAACACCCTCATTTCAAGCTAATGGGGAAAGATCAGGAGCTTTTTCAGGCTTTTTGTAAGGCAACTAAAGTTACATACTGTTGTGAATTACTGTACGGTTATAAATAGCAGTAAACATTTTCAGCCGGTCCCGAACGAAAATGGATTGTAACTTTTAGAAATCCTTCCATCTAACAATGTCTCGTAAAATTTGCAGTGAATTGAGCGAGACGCGCAGTGCGGTACTAAGCCCTCATGTATTAGAAATACCGCACGGCTTCATGAAGCCGGCAGGAACACCGCCTCCTGCCCGTCACATCACATGACCGGCTGCAAACATGGCAGAAGGGGATAACTCGAAATCTCTGAATGGTCTGTTGAATGGGATCGCACAGTACGTTTACTATAACAATTCTGAAATAACGGAGGAACTACTCAAAAATGAACTGTATCCAGACTTGTCGCAGGAGGAATTCCATGCTCTACACGAGAAAATGAAGGGCTTATTGAAGGTATCTATCTTGACTTGCGCTGTGAGCCCTACTATTCAAGTCATTTAACTACCTGTACTTAAAAAAAAAAAAAGTACTTTGAAACGTTCTGGCATTCCTAGAGTCAGCTGGGCTTGGCAATAAGGTGTTGGAAACGCATGAATCTTTTTTGTGAAAGTGACACATGAAGGTGTTTAAAATAACTACCCATTTAAAGAACGACATTTAACAACGCATGGTGCTGGCTGTACTGAGTCACCCGATTTATTATTGAGTGCACTTGTAATTGTAATTGTAATTAGAACTTAATTGTAAAGGGTAAATTGCTCGATCGCTGCTTAAGACTTTAACGTTTACAATGAGGATGCTCATAAAATAATACAGGTTCAGATCTGTCAAATGCCACGAATGCTCTTTATGCTCAGAATTGGAGTTTAGCATCAACGGCCTGTTCATGGAAAATAAACCCATCTTTAAGTATCCGTTCCACCTACACTCTTAATTACTGATATCTTTTTAATCAATCTTCTTGCTCGAGAAGGACTGTACCCGGTCTTTGGGTTCAAACATACTCAGTTGCACATGTGCTGTTGTGAGAAATCTCCGTCCAGTTGTCTCTCAGTGCGTCTTCAGCAATGTTGCCTTAATTGTCTTTTAATAGGTGACCATTTAACGGTGGTGGCACAGGTGGAAATCACACTGTGTTCTGCAGGCGTGCATTTTTTTTACATACCTGAATGAGGGTAGGTTTGAACGGGTTCCAGGTTGATAGTAATTATAACCCCATCTTGCTTGTGAGGAGCTCAATTAAACTGCATTCAGTTTCTCAGCTGTGGATCAGTTAGCCTAATGGACAAAGAGCCCAGTTAGAAATCAGAAGAGACAGGAGTAGGGCTGAGAAATATTGCATTAGCTGAAGACAATGAAGTGAGTTACTCCAATCAAGGTTTTAATTCTCCTGAATGAAAAGCATCTATTACTGCCCTAAAACAGATATTGGAGGACCATTACTGGAAGCTGGTCATTACCTCTTTGCACAGTGTGGCTCTGTAAATTCAGTGCATGCACCTGATGACTTTTTAAGAGGAAAATCAATTATAAAGCCATTGAAAGAATAGGAGGCAATTGGTAGCAACAATTCTATTAACAAACTTAATTAGAAGAGACCCTAAAAGCAGGGCTTATTAGCTTCAGTTCCCTCCAATCACCTGCTTTATTGCAGAATTGTGCTACAACCAGGTCCTCCGAAATTGACAGAAGAATGAATATAGTAATTATTCATTACAAGGAGCTGGCTGCATTGAAGTACTGCAGTTAATTGGAATGGTGGGGCTTCAAGTTGAGTAAGATATTTATATTCCTTAAGATATTTGTGGGAGTTCCTGAAGTGATTGTTTCATCATCCAACAGGAGCCACTTATCCCTGATAAGGGCCCACACACACCAGCAAGGGGACAATTTAAAGACACCCTTTACCATCACAGTATGTCTTGAAAGATGAAATGAAACCTGGTTAAAACCCATCCAGACATGGGAAGGGAATACAGACTTCACACAGAAGGCTCCCCTGGACAGTCCCCCCTGGATCAGGCCACTCCCTAGATCATAAAGTTGAAACATCTTTAATCCGATTCTATTCTATTCTATTACATTTAACAGCACAATTCAAGCCTTGAGCTATTTTTTTTATTAAAGTAGCACATAATAACAACAGTAGCAAATAATAATATTATTATTTAAGTAATACTTAATATTTCGATTATTGTTTATTATAACAAAAAATAATAACTTCATTTTCAACTGTATAACAGCAAAAAGCTTCATTGGAATCACCAGTGAGGTGAGACTACGATTGCACCAGAAGGTCACATTCAGTCCTTCAATATTGTCCTGTAGGCTGCACTGCTCAGATTTCCCTGCATGGGGCAGTGTTGTCTAACACAATAGTACATTTCTCAACACCTATATATACTGCTTTTGTAAAATAAAATGGCAAGCAAGGATCCAAATTGTTGAGAAAGTTCTAAAAAGACTTATTTGTACACTGTAGTTTGTTTTAAACCACTTAACAGACATAAATCCAAAATAGGATACAAAGAAACAATGTGGGCTTATTATATTTGCAGTTTTTGTTTAATCTATTCTATTCAACTTTATTTGTCATTATACTTACACGGGTGCATAGTATAGTGAAAAGTGTTTCTCATTAGTCTCTCAGGTGCAGTATATAAGTAGAACAGAAGACAAGACAATAGACAGTAACACAATAACAAGAACAGTGTAATAACAATAACAGTGTAATCAAAAACTGTGCAAATACGCAAACAGAAAAGTTTACAACAGGACAAAATATTGCAAAAGTAATTTGGGGAACAGTGCAAAAATAATACGGTGATTAATAACTATTACAACTGGTACAGTTTTACTCTATGATCTACTGTCATAGAGTTTTTTTATTTCTTCCAGCAGATATGCTTTTGCACAAAAGGGAACTGTTTGGACTTTCCTGTTTGGACTTTTAGTTCAGCATTGCAGGCGACAATAAGCTTCATTATTGCCTAGGGAAAATTTGTTTTGCAGCACAACAATACAACAAACGCAACCATCCCCATCAAAGGACAAACAGTACTTCTGGACAAACGGTATTTGGCTGGCAGTCTTGGTGTGCACCGCCTAAAGAATGTCTCGGCTACAGGGTACAAGACAACCTGAGAGCTGGAGTGGAAAGTTTTCAGGGCACTGTGTCAAATCTGGGCCAAAAGTCAACTGTAAAGCAGCGGCGCTTCGAATACGTCCTGGAGGGGCTCAGTAGTGAATGAATCCAGGCCAAAATTATTCCAACCACCAAACTACACAGTCCTGCTTCATTAAAATGCAAACGTTGTTCTCCGCTGAGTCTTATCTGGATCAAATTTTGGTTTATGTGAACGTGATGTTAACACTGTAATACAACACAGCACTCACAGTGACGAACAGCTCCGGTTTCTTCACTTTAAAATGTTTTCAATGTTTTCTGCGTCATCCTTAGAACATCAGAGGATATTCCAGAAGTGGAGCAAGAGTGCTCTTATATACAAAATATTATTAGCATATTAATAGTATTTGTTTAAAATTAGGAGTATTAGTTTTTTACCTTACCTTACAAAAAGAGGATCTTAGTAAGTTTCCAATGAGAATAAATAGGGAGAATATGGATTGGAAGCCATTGTTCTTCTCTGAAAACCTGTTATAAGCAAAATGCAAGGTGTTGTTCATGCCCGACATTCATTTCAAAAAAGCAATTTAAAAATGTTCTGTTCTGCTTGTGTTAGTTTTGTTTCTATAAGCATTGGTTTTTGGATTCGGAAAGCCTCAGCCCAAACGTCAGAGCCTCTGTCTTGTTTATATCAACCCTCTTCACACTCAAGTGATTTATGGCGGAAGAGGGATATAAATGCATGGATGCTTGCAAGATGGGCAGCAATAAACTGTTGAGGGCCACAGCCGGTGCCCAAACAAGAAGCTGTGACCTGGGCCCCTGACTGTCTCCGCGTCCCCTCGTTTCAGACCATCGCCTCGGCCGACATGGACTTCACCCAGCTGGAGGCCTTCCTGACGGCCCACACCAAGAAGCCGGGGGGCGTGAGCGGGGAGCAGGCGGCCGCCCTCTCCCGGTTCTGGAAGAACCACAAGCCGAAGATCCGGGACGGCCTGGTTCAGCAGAGCCGTTGGGAGAGCAGCCTGCGCGGCCTGAGCTGGAGGGCGGACCTGCAGACGCAGTCCCGTTGCGCCGAGCGGATCGGCTCGCCCGTGGCCCTGGTGGAGCTGGAGCTGGGCCGGACCGGGCAGGTAGAGCGCTTTCTGGTCACGGTTGCCGTTTCTTTCCTTTCTTTGTCTTTTCTGGCTTCTGTTCCGACTTACTAAGGTGGTGTGGTAGTTGGCCCTGCAGCTGCACTGCTGTTTGGTTTGATTCTGGTTTGGGATCTTCTCCAGGGGCTCCAGTATCCTCTTGCCCACTGAAGACATGGTGGCGAGGTTTAGCTGTGGTGGACCTAGGCCAGAGTGATTACTTCCGCTCACTTCTGCCTGGCACTCTGTGCTTCAGGCGTGGGCTCCAAGATACTGTGACCCTCACATGCAAGCCTGACTTTCTGATTATTGAATGATGGTTTGTGATGTGTTTTCAAATGCATTTGGCTAGTTAACCATGTAACGGCTACGTTCAGCATACATAGAATTAAAAGCTGTGTCTGATTGCAATGGCATCAGTTGCCCTGCGATTCAGACCCCAAAGAGAACTCTTGATTTTAGGGCAGACTGTGCAGTGGCTTTTCAGTTCGCGCAAAAGCCTTCAGACCACCTCATACTGCGTGGCGCGTACAAATGGCCCACTGTGGTTCCGCTCACTTCCTGTCCTGTGAAGAACACAAGTGCTCTCAAAGTGATGCAGCACGTTTACGGCAAAGATGCCCTTTGATCTTAGTTGCACTCTTTCTTGCTGAAGAGGCAACAACAGACCGGAGACAAACTTGTCATTAACCACACGATGATTAGTGACAGCTTTTCAGGATAGCGAAGAGGCCTGCACCATTGTCATGTGCAAGATGAAGCAATACATGAAATACAAAAGATATATTTCTCAAATAATATTTCTGTAGAATTGTTTCTGAAGTGCCTTTTTCTGGGTGGTTACAGCAGCTGATTATATTATAAGACAACTTATAATATAATCGACTTTCCAGTCATGGAAATCACAGCAAAGGCTTTCTCCCTCTTCAGAGACCAAAAAAGCTTTTCTGTTTCTCCAGGAAAACCATCTGATAACTGTGGGGCGTTCAGTGACTTAGTCATAGTTTGCTCTTTTGTTCTCCTTGTCAAAGAGAGCAATACTTGGCTTTGAGTAGCTGTGAACTTCTGATAGAAGCTCCAGGGAGTTTTTCCCCTCAAAACACTGAGCAGATAATTTGGTAGGACAGTCTTGATTCATAATGCCATTGCACTATTTTCCTAACTCGATCCTCAGGGGGCCTGAGGCTTGCATGGCAACAGGTTTTTGATTGGCTATGTGTCAGAAACTGCTAGGAGACCAGATTATTTGCTGTTGTGTTCTGTTAGCTTTGAGTATGGAATTTATGGCACACACTTTGAATAAGAGATTAAGTTTGCACCACCACCTAGACAAGAACTTCCTTTGTAGCTTTTGGCCATTGTGAGGCCATTGCCTTTTCTTTGAATGCTAAAGTAACCTGACCACAGAGGAGGCTTCCGATATTGAGCTTCTCTGTTGTCTTCAGAGGAAATAGTGCTGGGTGGCATTTTATTTTGGGTCATTTCATATGAGATCAATTGCTTGTTGACCGTACCAGTTTTGTTTATAATACAAATCTCAATAAAAGTTTGTTCCTGGGAGAAACAGAATCTGCTTTCTGGATCCATTCAGGAATTGGAGATGCTCAGGCTTGACACATTTTGGACCCATTTTGTTCACTGTAAAAACTGAGCCTCAGAGGCCCATGGTTTGACCTGAAAATACACTTGCCCTGACGCCCCCTATTCAAGTGTATTAGCTACTGGTTAGTACAACACAAAAACTGCAGGAGATGTAAATACGAGTCTAGACCGCAATGTATGTAAAAAGGAAGAAAAGAAGAAAGTTAACTTTTTTTAGTAATTGAGTTCAAATGTTTAAAACATAACCTCAACCTAGTTTGACAACTTTGTTGACCCTCATGTGTTTACCAAGTGACAAGGATATGTATGGATACCCTATAGTAGGAAAGAGGCAACAAATTTGGTCAACTCTGAGCACTTAATGTCTCCTGGTCATCCAGATCTGGAAATCATATTTTTCCTGTTTCTTTCATGGGCACACGTTTATGGAAACCTTTTTGAAATTATAAAGGGGAGAGGTCAAAAATGCCAATTTTTTGATTGCTTTCATTTGGAACAACCCTTTTATAGTTTTTTGTTAAAGTTCTGGTGTTGATGTTAAGCCACTGATACAACAACTATCTCCTTATCACAGTATCAACAAGATTGTGAAAGTGGCTCTTGAATCATTTTACAACTTGATATACCACTCCAATCAGATAGCCAGAAGAAACAGAGCAGAGCGATGTTTACTACAGTTGTGATAAATAGATAGATTATCTCAACACACCTGATCATAAAGTCAATAAACATAAAACAAGTAAACTTAATCGGTATCACTTTAAATACTTTAATTTTTTTACATCTTACATTTATTGTATTTCTTAATAATATCAAATTCCTCAATCCGTTTTTTTTTCTGGTGCTCCTGATCAGAGCACAAACAGTAGTTCAGATAATACCTGATATGGAGGATAAGGGTGAACTGAGCTATTCAACAAATAATAAACTTTTAAATAATGGCATCTGAAAGTAAAGAATTTGAAGATGCGGTTAAGTTTCTGAATTGTGTAATATCAATATTTATCATGAGAACATGATATGAAATCTGTGAACAGTTTACTCTTTGAGTAGCTTAAACTTTCTGTTCTGGCTCAACGTGTCTAGTTTTTTGGGAGGTTTGAGTAAAGTGAGGTGTTTTACAAGCAGTGCACTGAAGGTACTTATTATCTAAGATTAACAAAAATTTTGGGTAAAGTGGAACATGCTGTCCCCCTTGTGGGCTTTGAAGCAGGAAGGGTTTCTCAAGACAAGAATGCAAATAACAGGGGTTAAGTTTCATAATCTTAGAACACCTTGTGAGGTAATACATTTTTGAGATGTTTCAAAATATTAAATAACAGCAAGAACCAAATAACTAGTGATATGGATTACTCTTGGTCCTGTGTGTTAGTCATTCCTGAATTATCTTGCAGTTTTTTTCTTCTTAGAAATGGTTGTATGCATAAATTGCACATGAGGCAAAAAGATGGAACTACTATAGGTTCTGTAAAAGAGGTTGTTGTAGACAGAAGAATAACTGACTATAACTTTAAACTAGACACTGTAATTAATTTGTTCTGGGGCCACCCTAGGAGTTCTTGTGATCAGTATGGAGCTGAGAAACTGTGCATCGATTATTTTAGATGTCGGAAAGATGTTTATATTTCCTGCTTTCTGATTTTGCTGTCTGTAAAGAAACAAACATAAAACCTCATCTGAAAAAGTAGTTTTTCTCTGACATCTGAAACTTGCCAGCCCATACCACTTTGCATGATGTTGGTCAGTGGTCAGCACCTGGCATCACACACTATTGGTAAAGATAAGAATTATTCTCTAAAAACCTGCCATGGACTTTAGTTTAATCTCAAGTGAAATGAGTCTCCTCAAATGCTTTGTCAAAGGTGGCACTGTAGTTTTAAGATATACTGTTTATTCTTTCGGTAGAAGACTTAATCAACAAAGAAGATTTCCAATCAAAAACAAGGATGGTAGTTTTATCTGTGTCACACAAAATGTTATCTTTCTCCACAGTGCCTTCGCTTGCTGTGTGTGTTTGTGTTCAGCTCTCCCTGCTTGCATTGCTCATGACAAACAATGGTCCCATGGGGCCTCTCCACCTTGGCAAAGTTCTTTCAGGAAGAGTGTTTCCCCTTCAAACTCAGAGCCATGTTTACTTGTAGAAATCATTGCAGTTGTCCTCCAGAATACACATTTTTTGGAAAGTGTGATCAAGTCACGTTGAATTGTTTGGGGATACTGACAAGTATTTAATATTGCTTTGATCTGTATACAGACCCTTTAATGGATCTGTATTTTGTTGAACATGCTGTATTGAAAGATATAACATTGGAAGATGATTTTATACCTATTTGGACTTGGAGGTATTTCTATTACTATTAGGACAAGAGGTTAGACTGCTACAGTTTCAATCCAGTAATAGCTCATGATATGAACTCCTTAAAGTGGTCAAATTGTATTTTTGTCTGCGAGTAATCTTTGTAGCTACAGTGCTCAGATGAGGGTGTAAAGGTCTTGTCTTGCTATAGTCTGGGAATGAAAAAGAGCAATTTCTACAAATTTCTGCATGGACACTGCTGTAACAATTTTCAATCCATCCTGTAAAATTGTAATTACAGTTGTGGTTATATCTGAATTAAAAGATCTTTAATAACAGTTTTGAGCATAAACGGTACGATTATTTTAAAAATAACTGTACAGCCTTTTGAAAATATGTCCTTGTATCACAGCAAAGTATACCACCCTGACATCTGTGTTTTATCAGACAGATTTGGCACGAAGAATACACACTATTTTAAGTATAAGCCACATGACTACACTACTCTCATCTCCTTTTGCTGCTTGCAGACATCAGTAAGTTAAGCAGGGGGTCTTTGTGGTTTAAAACCAGTTCAAGACAGCTTTAAAGAGAGGTAGGCTGAAAAGAACCTCCACAAATGAAGAAGCTTGTGTGTTTTATATTCAGTGTAACATTTATGACTGTTTTCAAGACGGGAAGTGGCTTTTAACTACACACTTTCCTGCACAGAGGAAGACTTGGCTATAAATGTTCTGGCAGTTGAGTATTTCGCTTTAGGTATCCTTAATAGTCAGATTGCATCTGGAGCAGAACGAACTCTGGTTTGGCAACTTTTCTTCTTGCGTTTCCTAATATTCGCACCAGATCTTGAACGTGATTACGGAATTGAAGCAGTGGTTTGTTGCAAAGCTGCTGAACTTTGGAGAGTGCAGATCAACTCCAGGTCTTCTTGGACCGGTGGCGTCAGAGGCTGTTGCCTGAAGTCCCTCTTTGGCGACGACCCAAGCAAGACGAGGAATTCAAGACATTAATGGCCCCCTTATGTGCATCGGTGCACGAGAGTACAGGCGATTCCTCTTCCCCAGCTCTCCAAAGTGTCCCTTGTTATGCAGCTCTCCAT